CCGAAGCGGCTCGTGCAATTTCAGCTTTTTGAAAAACTCACTCGTGCAAATTAATTCCAAATTGAACGAGAAAAACCGTATGATTACCTATACTTATTATTTGGTTCTGTTGTAGTCTTGTCATTTGGCTTTGAATCATTGTTCAGTCAGTTTACTTTTCGTTGCTGAAAGTCTACAACCACTTTTCCGGGACTGAAGATGCTATTTTTCATGTTCACCCCGGCGAAATAATATTTCATGTTGTTATGCAACAGGGTAGTCATTTTATTGTTAAATGTACCCCAAATAGAACTTGTTCAATGACACTGAGTACAAACTCTGTACATTCAAATCCATTTTCTACCGTCGAATTGTGGTTAATCTAAGCATTATCGAAAGAATACCGTTTCAGAAATTACCGCAAAGTTTTCAAACCCAAAGACACCCTTTTCACTCATATTCATTCACTCTTGTTTCTTACCCTTTTGGCAGCAACTGGTATTAATTTCTGTTAATTTACAACTACGCGGACATTTCAGCATGTCCAATTCGAACTAATATTGCGACTCTGCATGAAACAACACGTGTGATACAGCTCAGTGCATCTCGAAATGTATAATAACTTACAGCGTTTTCGTTACTCAGTCAAAGAGCTTTTTTGATTAGATGTTCAAATGTCTTTGTGTTAAAGTGATATGAAAAATGCAAAGTATAGTACCTGAATTATGATTTTATTTCTGCCTGGCATTTGAACAAGGCTCGAAAATCGTTTTTTTCTTTTTATAGACATACATGTATAATTTACTGGAACAATGCCTAGCCTCTTATCGATTGCTAATGGTTTGCTACTCCCAAAATATACGTGTCTTTTTAATAAAGAGCATCAATAAACGTTTGACGACATAAACGTGCATTTCCAAACGCAAAAATCGACTTAACCATAGTGTGTTTGCTCGCGACAGATAAGAATGCAAGATATTTGCTTGACGCGACCAGATTCCTCGATTTTCGTCAGTTTCCTGTCGTGGTAAGCCGTTTCATAGTTATCTTTTGGCGGTTTAATTCCTGCTGTTTGACCGGAAAACTTCTCTTTCGCCTTACGCTGATTTATGAGATATATCTTCTTTTATACTTCCTGTTTTAAAAGCCTCTATTCTAGAGTCTATTGAGAACAGAACATGAGCTGACATCTTGATATATTTGGCCCTGAGGCATCCAAAAAAAATTACTACACTTTTGTTGCAATTTTCATCCTTCTTTTTAAGAACCTGCATTTCTTTCGTTGAGACATGACTGAGTAATTCAAGTACTGTTTTAGGCGAGAAAGTTGTTGACTTAACCGTCAGTTCAGTAATCTCTCTCTCTCGTTTTCTCGCCAGTATCCTTCCGTCCTTTGTTCTGATTGGCTGTATCATTCGTGATAACCTCAAGTGACGCCTATGGGTTACTCACCGCCATTAAGTCGTATTTCTCAATACAATATTTAATGACGCGCGGTGAAAAAGAAATATTCTCATATTCTACTTGAGTTGCTTTCTCTTTTTTGCTAAATAAGTACGCAAAAATTTCCACATTTACACATCATCCAGATTAAAAAAAAGATTGGCGCTAGGGAAACCTTACCAAGGAAACAAACTTCCATTTTTTTGGCATGCAGATATAATGAAAGTGAAAGCTGATAACAGGGCTGTAGCCAAAAAAGGTTTTGGCTGAGGCAATGTTCATAAAAAATTGTGACTGAGGCAGTGTCCATGAAAAATTATGACTGAGGCAATGTCCCTGAAAAAATTATTACTGAGGGAATGTTCATGAAAAATCATGACCGAGGCATTGTCCATGGTTAAATTCTCTTCAGTCCTAGGTAATTAGGGTGTTTAGATGACTATAAACAACAAGAAATCGAAAAAAAAAAACGACCAAGGGATTTGCCTCGGTCTGCCTGTTACAAGCAACGGCCCTGGAAAAGGACGCGATGTGAGTCAGTGCCGTGTGTATTTCAAACCAGTGAGAAAATTTATGTATATTTTTTATTTTGGACCATTTTGCGGCCCCGGTGAAAAACATGTTTTTGCGTTAAAAAGCTTCGGGCTCTTCCTTCAATTTAACTTTTTGGTTGCGTCCGACAATTTTGTGTTGATAATTTGCGGATATGAAGCTTAAATAGAAATCGCCATTTGACTAAATGAACGTCACTTAGATAACTTGTATAACGAAATACTTCATCAATTTGTCAACATGTGAAAATTATTGAAATATCACATCACTTGGGATTTTTTTAATATAAAGTTCTTGTCAGATATATGATCATAAAAAAACTAGAATTTCTACAAAGGTTGCATATATTAGAGATTCAGCAAAATATGCAACTGGTTTTTTAACTATACAAGAAAAGCCTCAATGTAGCCAATTTGCAATTTAGTGGGTATACTTAGAAAACATTCAAGACAGTTAAGTAATTTTTAAAATGAACCTTTTTAACAGCTAAAAATAACACTTTTTTGGTAATGAATGCTGAGTGGCGTTTAAAATAACAGACACAACGACGCACATGTTTCTAAAAGCTATCATCTCCTAACTTTGCAGAACACAACATGTCTTGCGGTTATAACTTGACAGAAAACGACAGGTGAAAATGACGTTCTGGAAAAACCGCTGGAGCTATTAAGTGTCGTTTGAATGAATATTCAAAAAGATTGTTCTTAACACTCGCCTTATTCAATCTTTATTAATGAATCTATTTTTTTGTCATACTAAGTGTGTGTACAAATTTCTAATGCCCCTGCCGAAATACGGTCAGCAATAAAAATGATCACATTGATCTGTACAGAGTTTGTTCTTGCAGAGGAAAAACACTTCTTTGTAATAAACTAATACAACGAAAATTGACAATAGCCTTGTTTCATTAATATTGAAACTAACTTGTGTTTACACTCCCAAATGGAAATTTACTTGATTACTTTCAACTTTAAAGAATGGTTCAGTTGAAATTTTGTATTTACACAAGCATGCGATGAATTGGATTGAAAAGATAATACTTTGAAAGGTTGTCATGGACATGCGAGGATGTGATGAAGATTTCTAGTGCTAAAATGTGCATAAAGTGCTCATTGGAAAAGTAAAGTTTTCTACCTTAATTCACTTCAGTTACTTAAAACCCATTACAAGATATGCCAAACCGGCCTACCTTAAGTTCATTGACAGCAGTTTATACATAACAACTTTATTTCAACTCACCTCGTTCGACGATCACTTCTTGTACCCTCGGTTGATTTAACGTCTCTCATTTCGCTTGATTTCAGTTTTTGTTTTCCAACCCTGATTAAAAAAGTAATGAATTTGCGCCGATACTTTCTAACTTCCTTACATGTTAAAATCCGTGGACACAGCTAGGCAGGTGCGGTTACCAGTGAAAAAACCGACGGCGGATGCGAGGCCGATCACTTATGTGCTTGAATATGTATTAATATTGTTTCTTATCGTCGTAGCACTCAATAATTCATAAGAACATTGCTTCAGCATCGTCACAGTTGATTAACCCTTCATCAAGGACGTTTCAGGATGCCGCCTGCGTTTGCTTTCGTCAGTTATCGTTGCTTGTGTCTCCGATTTCTCAGCTACTGAAATGTTGAATGCGTTCACTGTCGAAAGAAATTGACAATCACCTGAGGAATTGTAGAATCCAGACCTCTCCTATTTGTTTGCCCCATGCCAAACTATGCTTTCAAATGTGATGCGTCCCTGGTTTGGTCTGGTTACAATCTAAACTGATATGTTGTCTTTAACAGAAGTAGCAGTTTCATTTATGTAAAATGTGTATCTTCGGGGAAAGATAGACATGTAAGGCATGCGCAAATGTCTTGAATGCCCCCCGGCTAACGTCCTTGTTAATATAACATAAATTTGCAGCAAATAGCCAATGAACTAACCATAGTTAATAAGGGGGAATGGTTATGAAACTCGACAAAGTTCTTTGTTGTATGTGTTTGTTCGCTTTTTTTGGCCTTGACCGTGCACAAAACACAATGGTTGTTTACTCCGCACTGAGGAAATAACTAAAAGAAACGTGTTGGTTACTCATAACTACTCGTAACTCATGCATAGTGTATGAACGCAAAACAAAAGATTGTACACGGTCATGGACTTTTCAACATAAATCTTGGCATCTTTATTTGCTCCTTTGATGTTTGCCGGGCTTCATAACCAGTCCCCTCTATTAACTATGAACTAACCAGGAAAGATGGAAACTCGGTTCTATAATTATTAGACGAGATAAAGAGGGATGATCCGTTACAGTTTTGTTCACGAAAGGATGAATGGCAGGACTTTCCCTTCATCCCTCTTGTTTCTGTGGAATAAAAGCAAAACCCAAACAATTTCAGATTACTTTATAGACTATACTTAGTTGAAAACCACTAAAAAAACCCAGCATCGACATTTCATGAACTACTTTCTCAACCAACAGAATTGTCTCAGCTTGTTTGAATGCTTGGCCTCATTAGGTCTTGACAGTTTTTGTTTTCCATCTTTATTTTTTTTGGTTGTTTTTGTAGACGTCTTCCCAGACAAGCTAGCATGGACCTCAAACGGCATAGCAGTTGGGGCCCAAGCCCGAAGTTGAATGGCGACGTTAACAGAAATGGAATGCAGGTATATGAATAACTTATATCCGGTATTATTAAAATCTGGATCATTGGATAATGCAATTCGAGAGTTTTCATCGGCTTAGCCATCATGGGATATGAGCCATTGTTATACCTCCCAACTCAAATACGTTTCCTGATTGGAGGAGAACGTGTTACGTGTCGTGGGTCAGAACTCATTAATTCCCTTGGGCGAACAAAGCTCACTAACTCTCTAGGGAAACAACAACTTGAACTTTCGACTCGCACGTGATCAGGTCGTGCCCCTTGAAACCGCGGCAAATTTGTGAGCCAGCCGGCGTCAAGCAAACGATTTCTTCGCATCTTTTTTCTATTTTTGAGTTAAGAGGTATAACAAAACACTTAATGACTGGTCCCGCGGGAAACATGGAGTTTTGTTTCCTCTCCAAGGAATCCCTGTTGAAAGTCAGTGAAAAGTCGGGGAAGTTTATCTTGTGGTTGCCGCAAATTGTTTTATTAGATGTTTTCGTATAGACAAGGCAATCTTGTTTTAAAAGTTATCTGAGCTATCCTTATTTTTGTTGATTCATGGCCAGAATAATCATCCTGCACGGTCAGTGAAAATTGTTTTGTAGTCACTAAAAAGTCAGGGAAAGTCAGGGATTTTTTTTTGTTCAAGTAGGTGGCAACCCTGCTATAATCTAGGGGTGTTTTTAATAAAACAATTATTCCACTCGTGCTTGTTGGATTTAATGAGATGATTATAAACAACTCATATCCAACGCGCGCTTGTGGAATAACTGTTAATTTTCCTTGAACTTCGCTCTCGCAAAATTGTTCGCTTCTCGGAACATATAATGTCCGCGGACAAATTACCGTGCATATTTTCGCGCCAAATGGAGGCTATTGTTTCTCTATTTTGAAAAACTGGTTTGGTACATTAAAGCGCCTGAAAATAAGGCCGAACTAAAATTCCGTGTGCCAATGACCAGAATTTACTCTGTACACCTGGAGCTAAGTTGAGGATCACGCATCTGGATTAAACTTTGTGGAAGCCATGAAAATGCTAGTTAGAGGCAAAGGAAAGCAATGCTGCCCTCAGATTTTCTAGATGTCCAGTGAAGTTTTTCCCTTTCTTTCTGGGAATATTTATAGGCGGCCAGCTAGAGACGTCTTCCATTTATACTGTAACCGATATATTTTTAGATAAAATGATAAAACCCGACCTGAATTAGCCTTGTTGCATGCTGTGCGCGTGAAAGGCTTGAGAACATGGATTGAGTGTACTTTTGTGGGTGTAAATCTTGTGTAGTGGACCGTCAGAATCGGAAACTGTTGAGCTGTTCTGCTTGTACTGCAGCGTTTCTGTGTTTATTAACGTAATGCATTTACTCCACATTGTCACCAGCCTCACCCAGACTCCTCTCGTGCTGTGATGGAAGCTTCGGTACCCTGCAGTGTAGCCACACCAAATGTTGCGGAGCAGTTCAAAGATCAGGCCGTTTTACCCGCCGCTTACCTAACACCAACCACTAGAAGGAGCGACAAAGGTGATCATCCTTACACAATACATTTCAAAATAGTTTTGTCCTTTTTTATTGCACATTAGCTTTGAGATTCAGAATTGGCGTGAATTTCTAGTTCACCTCTTCATTTCAGTGACAATTTCTATTATCCTTTCTGTCCTTTGTTTTCTTTTTGTAACTCATCATAAATGTGTCTCAAGCCTCGAGTCTCGGATTAGAGAAATCGCCTTTTTCAAACAACGGGCCCTGAAACTCAAGTTATGCTTCTCAAGTCTTTATTATCGCTGTGAGTTGGTTACACGCCCCCTGACTGGGAAACTTTCTAAAGAGTTACACCTTTTTTCTGACCTTGTAGTTCTTGTCGAGGGAGCTTCTTTAGATCTGGACAGTTCAAGCGACAGTGATACAGGAGTGGAAATGGATAAAGACCGGCCTCAAGTGAAGCAGGATCCATATTTCGATGATATGATAACGCGTATCAACGTTCAGCTAGAGGAAGCTGTGGCTCGCGGCACAAGCCCTTACGCTATATATGGGCTGGAAGACGACGATGCAGATGACTGGTGCTGAGAGAGATTGTTTCCTCTTGTGAAACTGAATGTGCATATGGCCGCTCGCAGTGCTGGCAGCTGACTCAGATCAATCTACCATTCCCCAATGTTCGAGTATTAGTGAAACGAACTCCAAATACACACAACGTTTCTTGTGCAAGCCGCATGAACGCTCGCTCGATGTTGAGATTTTTCAAGCCCTCTTTTTTAAATGGTCAATCGTGATGTAATCACTTCGACGGTCTTCAGACCTAGAAAAACACACTCAAGAAAATAACTAACGTCCGTGCATTAAGTCTCCTTGGTTTTGAGACTGACATTGTTGAAGGCGACAAAACTGAGGGGAGTCTTTGGGATAAACATTGTTATTCTTTCCTACGGCTATGGAATGGGACGCAAATCAATTATTGACTAAGAACTGGTTGGATCCAAAGATTACAATTAAGCTTTGTGTAGCCTCACTCTTGTGAGAGGCCACGCGTACAGTGGAGCCTCGATTTAACGAACCTCTATTTAACGAAGTCCTCGATATAACGAACGATATTCTATGTCCCGGCCAAAGTTACAGTAAAATGTATGGAATAGAACCTCGATATAACGAACCTCGATATAACGAATTTTTCGATATAACGAACATAATCCGGAAACCCAAACGTAAAATCTACCTCGATATAACGAATTACAATGTCAACATGTGGCAGAAGATAAACGCTGAACAGATCAACAGTCAACAAATCCTTGAAATCCTTATTGTAAAGAGACAGCAACCTTTCAGTCAACAGCTTATTATATGTCATAGACATTGGCACTATTATAGTAGTATTTCGACATCAATCAACTTCTGACAATTTTCTGTATAACCTCTATGTTGCAACATTTTTAAATCGCTACTCTGAAAGTGTCGTTCTTTTGTAAACAAAAGCTGCGCGTCTCCTCAAAAGGGAAAATAATTGATACTGAAAGCCACCATGCTTAATGAATTGCATCTCAAAATGCGACACTTCTTGGTGACGAAAATTGCATTGAATTGCGTGACAGAAATCACCTGTGTTACAAATCAATCATTAACTATGACCTCGATATAACTAACATTTTGGTCGTTTCCCCTCAAATTCGTTACATCGAGGTTTTCGATATAACGAACCCTCGATTTAACGAACAAATTTGGCCGGTCCCCAGCGACTCCGTTAAATCGAGGTTCCACTGTATTATGCTTAGCAGAAGTCTCCGCATCAAGTTGTACTCGGCCTCGGTGGAATGACGATTTAAACCGAGTCACAAACTTGAAACCAACACTTAATGATCCAAAGGGAAAACAATATATTCAGTTAATCAAATAAACAAAATAACTCGGAAACAATTCGCGGCATCGACCGACAGTCCGCACTACAAAGAGTAATTTATATTAGCAGTGAACTGATGTTAGCATTTAAATAAGATGAGGCAATTAAATTATTCTAAATGCTATTCCACAGTTGAATTGCCTTTAAGAAAAGACAAAAGCTAAAATATAATAATAGTTCGATATACTAATATACAGATCTACAAATTTTGTAATTACTTCCTTGGAAAAGGGAAGTAGGTTTTTCAACCGAAATATTTCATTGAACGCTTATGTTGTAGTTATCGTTATTATTAACAAAGTGTTATACTTTGTTTTTTATTGAGTAAAGTAACAATTTGTCAATATAGTATGGTATAATAGGGATGCCGGACACAATTTTTTTTATTTCCGCTGGCATTTGGAGTTTTCATTTTAAAAAATTAATTTAGTAGATATGTGGCTCCGTTGTGATAATAACGTAAATTGAAGACGATTTTTTTGTTATCACTCTCTTCCATGATCGCTCTGAAAAAGTTGCCGTCTGCCAGCCGGGTGAAATTAATCGCGTTCTCGTCTTGTCGTCGTATCGTTATTATCTCAATATCAGATCAACTCCGTTACGATATTGGCAAACATTCAAGATTAATTTAAGTTTAGCTACTTTAGTTGAAATTTCCTTACTCTGTTGTACTTTGCAACAGCGGCTATCGCCAATGTTTTAACTTCAATTTTATTTGTTTAAAAGCAGCTTTAGCAACATCTCACCCTTCAACTCCTTAAAACAATAGAGTTGCGTTGGTTAGAGCGAATCCTAATCTGACAAATTTTCGCGCTCCAATGGGAACCTTTAATTTCATAGTGTTAATTTCTGATTAAACGCCAAAGGTTTTAGATAATAAATTATTGCGAAGTGGTTATTATACAACTGGAAACAGGGTAGAAAACACAGAATAAATCGCTAATTTAACACACTCGTTCGTTTTAACCAGCGACCTGATGGGTGCGTTAAAACCCTGTGCTGAACCACGTGACCTTGTCAATCAAGAGAATGACGACCAGCATCTAGTGTCCTGACTGAAAATGAAATGTGCAGAAGCGTTGTAAAATTCAAGATTGGCGCGGATATATGAACGCTTTTTGAATTTTTCACTTTGGAACGTTTATTGCTATCCTTGACATAAAACTTTCACTGCTTCCTGGCCCACCCATTTCATTTCCAGTAATCGTTGATGGTCAGGTTCACATGATTACGGGCTTGAGGTTTCTACTTAGCTGATTTCGAAAAGAAACATGAATTATGTCGTAGTTTCTAAGTCAATTCAACCTTTCAAAGCAGCGGTGAAAGAGCCCCGGCTATTTTATTCGGATTTTTATTAAAATTCTACTCAATCTTACAAAACAAAACCGTCTCAACTTTTTAGGTTTAAACATTTAGAATAAAAGTGGAAACCGCACAAATTACATGCAGATACGTTCTAACGTTAACTCACAAGTTTTTGGGTACTGTTAAGAACTTTAGTTAGAGCTAGCTATTGCTTGATCTAAAATACTGCATTAGCAACTTTCGCCGACCACTCCTTACCTCCTCCCAAACAACTGGTGTAAGAAGTACAGAAATGTTTAACCTAAATAAACCTTGTTTGTTCGGAGTCATTCCCTTCCCTTCTCAACAAAACACATTTAAAACTCATACTCTCAGTCCCTCATTTAGCCGAGTAACCAGCCGTTCTCAAAAGTGCCAAACTGGTGTCTACGGTTACCCTTGACTGGACGTTGAGAGCAGCACACGCCACTGTCGCCGCAGTTAATTCAGGTCCCACGTTAGATAATAATAAACCCTTCTTGTTTAAATGAAACTTGACCAGCAAGGGTACAAAGAGTTAGTTTAGAGTCCGGTGATTTAAGAACGTTATATGGTTAAACCATAGAGATTTAATGTAAGAAGTAGCCAAGAGCGGGAAAGTATCCCCTGTCTATAAAAAATAAATACAGCGGCTTTCTTAATAGCTGGTTTAGTCGCTTTCTACTAAAAGAAACTAAGTCGTCGTAATCTGTCAAATGTCCTCCAAAACTTAATCACTGGTAGCAAACTGGTCCAATTTTGACGCCAAACTGTTCGTTGCCAACTGCTCGATGAAAGAATGTCAAGTCTTCAAGGGGGAGAACGTCAACTTTGTCACTGTCAAAGATAAACTCGGTTCTGCGCCACCTTCCATCATCGCGCTATTGAAAAATAAACAATAAAACATCCGTTTAGAACAACTGCGATACTTTGAGTGAGAAAAACACTTCATGCACAGCCTGCCCCACTTACGACTAACTGAACAATTCTTCTGGGCGCTTGCTAACTCAATGATGCACGCTTAAGGTCATTCCCCCGAAAAAGAACGCACAATAGATTTTCATTCAAATTTTGCCTTTTGCCTGCTTATATCAAGACTTGAATTTTGAAATAAAAAAAGGGGGGGTCCCGGTATTCATTTAAGGACAGGAAGACCTTCAATGAGTCCCATAATTCCTTAAATTATCTGCTCATAGAAACGTTTATATTTGAACACTAACTATGGGTTGTAGGATGATTCGTCAAGTAATCTGTCGGTATGTGTCGGTTTTTTGTACACTGTCGTTCGCAGTTCGTTTTTGTCGCGGCTTACCAAACAGTCTAGAAAAGGAAGTTTTCCACTTTCTTCGATTTCTTTAGTAAACTGGATGTCGGCGTTCTGTTCGTTTAGGTGGTCGTGAAAAGCGTCAATTTCGTCTTGTGAACGGCGGTAAAAGTGTCGTCAACGCAGCGTAACCAAAGCGGTATCGCTTGTCGGCAAGTTGAAAGGGAGCGTTCCTCCATGTGTTGCATCACAATTTCTGCGACAACAACAGAAACAGGCGACCCCATGGCTGTTCCATGCAACTGTTTGTAGTGTTTCCCGTTGTACTGAAAGTAAGTCGATGTAAGGCAAATATTCAGTAAGTCCACGATGTCTTCGGTCGGTAACGGTAGTTTAAAGGTATCGATATCGCGGAGGTCACGGGTTCGAATCCCGTTGAAGCCCTGATTTTTTTTCAGGCTTCTTCTTTCCAACTGCTTAAATTGGAAAATTTACTGCGACGATCAATCTTCACTTTCATCTACAACCGCAGTTCAAATATGAATTACTTCAAATGTACTTCACATAATTAACGGTTGATTGTTGTATAGTGGTCTCGGTACACTGTAATGCCAATCCTTACGGTAGCAAAAACTATGGTGACTGGTACATTTACCCATAGTTCTTAGCACACGAAAACCTAAACAACGTTCATAAAAACGTACAGAAACGTTATAAAATCTTCAAACCTAGGCTACTTAATATCCTCAGTACAGGGACAAATACTGTAATTATAAGGCTTTCTTTGTGCCTTTTGGGCTGTGTTAGGTTCGCGAGGCATTGTGGTAAAATGTACAGCCGTCATCTTTTTTCCTACGGTGGATTAAAGTGGAACACTGGGATTTAATATGTTCCAAGCACACAGTGTTCTTGAGGGCACGTACTACCCTTTACGAGTGCTAACTATGCTGTCATTTTCAGTGATAATTTGTTACTCTGAAATAGAAATTGGTATATATTCACTGTATAGAAAGGTGATCGCTGCATTCAAACTAAATGAAAAAATCGTTAGGTCCCGGTACTCGTTTCCGAGAAAAGACGATGATTTGTCTCTCGTAAACCAAGCCGTTTAGAAAAAGCCACCATTTTGTGTATGTTATGCATATGCACGCGCTCGCGAACGCGCGCTAATGACGCGAAGGTCGTGCGCAGTAGGGATGCGCAATTCTGAGGAATAACCTTAAGGTGATTCCTAAGTATTGCATTGCGCATCCCTACTGCGCACGATTTTCGCGTCATTAGCGCGCACCTATGAGCGCGTGCGCGTACAAAACGTAAGAGATTTCCCTCAAACTAAGCTCAATAGCGAAATAAATGCTCCTTTTCTCTTAAACGAGCACGGTAACCCCCACTTTTTATTTCATAATTTCAATGAGAACAATATCCTCAATAACTGAGAAAAAAATTAGCAGAAATCTATCGCTACTTTTTTGGCAAATGAAATAAATAGTCCAGAGGGAGACATAACGGGCACATCAGCGGATGTCCAACTTATGTTTCCTTTAAAGGATAAAAAATGCAGGGTATTTGAAGACATTTTTTCCTGGGACGTAGATGAATAAACAGTCAAAGAAATTCAAACTCTGTGTGATATAACACGCTACATTGAAAAACGATCGAGCTTATTTGTTGCGCACGGAGATTACCAAAAGTCACCTAAATAACCGTATTTGTCAGCATCGTGGCGTGAAAACAAGCGCGATGACCCCCTCTTTTTATTACGTTTTTAATATCTCCTTGTCCTGTAGCAACAGCATACCAAGTTTCATCGGAAATCTATGGCGGGCTCTTTTACTAGGGAATCACCTTAAACATGAGTCAATTGTTAAAACAAACATACATTTGAGCTCTCAAACACTGTTTAACAATTAAATTAATAATTAAGTTTAATAATTACTTTAACTCTTGCCAACTCATCTCAACTCCAGAGTAGAGTTTTACTAAAGACACTACCTGGCAGTAGTCCAGTGCAACGTTTGGTGTTGGATTGCTTGTCGGTGTAAAGTCGAATCCTTTTCTTCCATGAAAGATCCACGAGTAACGATGGCTTTTGGTGGCCCTATGGAACCATACTACAATTCTCTTACACTTGACTGTCACGGTTTGTCTGACTCTGGTGCTGACAAGTCGCAGGAAGTTAAACTGAATTTTACTGGCTAGGTAACTGATCTAAAAATAAAGAAATAAGTTTCATTAATCCATTTCACTCAATAAGTTTCATTTTGGTTAGTTTGTGTATTTGTACCGGTCTCAGTTTCATTTTTGGTAGTCTGTACAGTTGGATTTGTACTGCTACATCACATTACCTTAAAACCTTGTTCAAGATTTGAAAATCTTTCCCATGTTGCTTCTGGGCCACTTTTCCAGGTCCTTTTAGGGATCTGTTGATTTAAAAAAAAAATGCTTTTTCTGTGTATCGAAATGACGTTGTCCTACAATTGGCGTGTCAATGTATTGACAAACAATCAAGATATCGTATTTAACTGTCCACAGAAACTCTCAACAATATCACTGGCGGTCCTAAAGTTGTAAATAATGTCAGGCGGAATAAAGCACACGAATGGGCCAAACGCAACGCAAAGCAATAACCAAACGTGCTTACTTTATCCCGAAGAGGAGGAACACAGGATTCTCCACCAGCTGTAAAGTTGCAGTACACTTTAATGGCATCAGCAGGGCAACCAAGGTTTGGATCAATCCAGTAATAACCTGTAATAAACACGATCAAGCATCCATAAGTACCAACTAAGATTTTCCAACAGCTATTACAGTGAACAATTCTCATAACATACACACGCGATGAAGCTAGTTTCTCACCATCCCGAATGTCGTCAATGTCCATGAGTTCTTTACAAGTCATAGCTGGATTGTCCCTGGTGCCTAAAGGAAATTTGTAGTTCTCCACCGTTGAAGACATGTACAGTAGCGTCTTGAGATTTTGTACCGACTGATAAAAATGGACATAAAGTGGAATTAAATGAAAATAAAAGAGAAAATGAAAAGCAGGAGGGAGAAAGAGAAAAGAAAAACAAGCTAATTGCAGGTTATACAGAGACACAGAAAATACACCATACACGGATACGCACAAACAAGTGTACAAACTCTGTGACGTACAGATTTGAAAGCTTAACCAGTTACCTGATCCAGGTAATTATGATGACCAAGCCTGTGAAGTCCGATCACCTGGCCAGGGGGACCCTAGAGTATAATAACATGGAGCAAGCATATCATCAGCATTATTATGCCCACCATCAATAAGTCCTCATGACAAAAAAAGCGTGATTGCTCACTTAACTCTAGTTAAACTACACTTTATTTCGAGTTCGTGGGATAGTGTAACTTTAGAAGTATTTGAAATATAGCAAAGAATTTTGTATGGTATGGCAAACAACCTCAAAATTTTAGTTTGAAAAGCCTTTTAAAGCCAAGCCACGTAATAAAACATTTACACGCAGAAGGCTCCAGATAAAAATTGCTTGTTTTAGGTGACAACTCTTAAATCAACGCGGGCAAATTCTACCCACTCGACGATTTTTTTAACCGGGTAGTGAAGTCAGCACAACTTACCGGTGGTCCACTTGCACCCTACAAATCAAATATGGAAACGTTATTTCAAGGCAGGCCCTTCACTGAGTTGATTAATGTTAGTTGTATGGCTATTTGAATACCAGTCGAGTTAATTGGAGAGGCCGAACTGTAAGCACGAGGTCTGGCTACTTTCAAATTCTATTTCACGTGCTGTCATACAAAATCGAAAACAACTTAAAGGTACTCAGTCAGTGACAAAAAGAGATGTACTTACGGAGATTCCTTTCAGCCCCTAAAGAAAAAAAAAAGAAAGAAACAGAAACAAACGATTAAGATTTTGCAACCCATTTCAAACTGGAATGAACAAAATTGTGGAAAAAATGTCAGTCTTACCTTCTGACCTGCAGCTCCCTAGAAAATATTAAAAAAAACACAGGCAAACAAAAGTAGGTAAGTTACTTTGTCTCTCTCTTATCCGGAAATGGAACAAACAACATATAGAGTAAATTGTTGTCATCAAGGGATTTTTCTTGCTAAATTATAATAAGAAAAAGACATCCACAGTAAAGGGGAACCTCTTACCGGTACGCCTCTGCCTCCCTATGACAGAAAGAAATAAAAGTAAGATTAACAAACACAATAAATTTGTCAGCTGTTTTCCAAGGAAACCACAACTGAATATTACGTCCCATGACTCACATTACCAATAAGCAACTGATCTGAATATATTAGAGCGGTTTTCAATTGAGTGTCGTAAAACCAAAACCAAACCAATTACATACCAATTAAACAACTCAGTCAATCTCAAACCGTAGTAAAACCAAAACCAAAACCAAAACCAAAGTAATTGTCTAATTACTTTCGACACTCAAATGAAAACCGCTCTATTTTAAAACCGAAGTTAAGGGTAATAGTAATTGTTTGATATGTGTAACCAAGCAGTACTAAATTATCGTAAGGTATCCCACAGTTGTTATTGTTTAATAAAAAAAAATACCAGTTACCCCTCCCCACCACCCACCCAACTAAGAGCAGCTTCATGTAGGTTTCGTGAACTCTGGAAACAGATTCGGACTTGAAAGAGTAGTTGTTTCACTGTTGTTCGTTTATGTTTGCTAAAAGCAAAGCAAAACATTTGAAAAGTTTGTAACTTTTAGAATCGTTATTAGACACTCAACCACTTCCCGGCATGAGAGAGGCATATATTTTCTTGAACTTGTCTGTGTACAAAGATACAACAAACAAAAACTTACCACAACACCGTAAAGACCCTGTATATGAAAGGGACAAAAGGAGTGGCTTTTAGTAATGTCGGTGATGTGAATTTAAAAAAAGAAAAACAAAATATAAAACAGTGAAAATATTAGGAATCAGTAGGGATGAACACAAGAATCAATACTGGCTAACAAATATAACGCTTCGATGACCACTGAGTTCACAAGAAACAAACTTTGGCGAGTTTGTTTTCTTGTTCTTTTTCTCGGCGTTGTAACATCAGTAGGCCCCTGCGAATAGAGTAAATAAATAGAATGCACCATGTACCTCATTTCCATCCGATCCTGGGCTGCCCTCACGGCCAGGCATTCCAGCATCTCCCTATATCATCCAAGACAACACTATTAGCCATCATAAATAAAATGCTTGCCAAGTGAAAATATTAAATAATAATTGACCCGCTCACATGCTCAAGCTTACCCTTTCTCCTGCCTTGCCAGCCTGTCCTCGAGGTCCCACAGGACCCTCAGATCCCTTTTGAAGAACAAAATTGTAAGAGTTAAAACTACAGACATCACAAAACGAAACCTGGAGTTCGGTGGTACTAATCTTCCACTTATATCTAAATTGAACCTTTTCAACAGGCTTTCTAATGTGAAAAAGTGCTAACGAAGCAGACGGTGAGAGCAACGATCAGGTAAGAAATAGAGCTCTCTCGCTCTTTCTTTCCACTTCTTTTGGCCCATTTTCCAGACACGGGGCTAGGATGACATAAAACTGAGCTTTTGGGCGAAGAGATAACAAAGTTAGCTTTGACGGGAAGTAGTATTCAGAATTTATCAAGTTTCGCTTTCATTGCTGTTTGATCTCTCACCATTTTGCGAGTTCAATATTGGTTAACTAAAAAGCAATCTAGCAAATCAGTGGACCAAGTCATAATAAAATACATTACAAATTTGATAGTATTTCCAAACAGAGTGGAAAATGAACTCGACTGTTATTGATAACATAACTCGGCTTGACAACCTGTTGTCAACGCTGATTTCCCGATATCTGTACAGCTTTATACAAGTAAGTCATAATTCCAACGGCAAACAAACTAACCCGCTTTCCTTTCGGGCCGGTAGGCCCCTTGTCTCCAGGACTACCTCTCTCCCCCTTTGGGGCCAAACAACAAACAAAAATTCATATTGGTAAGAATAACTTAATAAAGTACGTTAAATTTAAAGCAAATTTGAGCACGTATGTTTTTTTTCTGTCAATAACAACAGCTCACCATTTCGCCTCGAGTTCCCAAGTCTCCGGGTGCACCTTTTCCTCCGGGATGTCCCTGTTAAACAAATAGTGTGTTACACACAGAGAACATACTTTTCTGTCGTAAATATGTCCCTCAACATGAAGAAACTTTATACACATCTTTAACGAATAACAAGGAGATATTACCTCCACGCCTTTTGTTCCTAGGTAGCCAATAGGTCCAATCGCACCTTTTGCTCCCTTAACGGAAACAAAAAAACAAGTAAACGAGTAAACACATCATCCAGCCAAGTTAATGTGACAGAATGGGACACAGCCACCTGTCTTTTGCTATTGGTGATAAGGTTTGTCTCACCAAACCTTGCCCTAGACGTTTTTAAGAGGGAAGGGAGAGGATAATAAGGCTGTGGTGAAGTCTTTGACCAACCGCACAAACTAGCTTCCGACAACTAGCGACGATCTATCCAAAGAGTTAAAACAAGTGACTCCCGCGCTGTTGGCGAATGGCTACCCGAAACGATTTATAATCGATTCGAGCAAACCTAAACGGTCACCTAAGCAGTCTGTAGCAGCTGCGCCGGAAGACGTTAAGAATCAATCGCGCGGTGTAATCTATTCCATTCCATGCAAAGATTGCGACAAACAATACATCGAGGAGACCAAACGGAAATTCAATACTCGGCACAGAGAACACCAAAAAGCGGTCGAACAAAAACAACCCAAGAAATCTGCACTCGCCGAACGTTGTTTACAATCTGGTCACGCTATCTCGTGGGAATCGTCTACAATATTACGTACCAGCACAAGTTGGCGAAACCGACCCCTCTTAGAGGCTTGGGAAATTAACACGTGGAAAAGTCCACTCAACCGCGATGACGGCATCATGCAGCGACATGTACCTGCCCTAAGAGTATAGAGCCTTGACTCTATTGGATAAGAACTAATTTCCTCTTATATTCGGTTTTTATTAGCAACTACGCGATCTTAAATAAACTTGTCACTTCATTATATTTTTTATTACCCCTGAGGAAGGCTTATGTTAAAGCCGAAACGTTGGGTTTTTAGAGATTTTTAATAACTTTTCTCAACCAGTGTAACATTTTTATATTTATCATATTCAAAATACATTTTGTCACGTGGCCAACGCATGTAAGTTACCTGAGGTCCTCTGGAACCGTCAAGCCCTCTCATTCCAGGTAGACCAACAGGTCCCTAAAATAAATAAATAACATATAGCTGATACTCTTATCAGATCTGCTAATTAGCTATAGGGACTGTTCCTATTTAATACAGGAAAACACTGCCAAAAAAGATACATTTCAACGCTTAATGTTCTTCGCTCAACTAGGCCCTTTAGCTTCTTATGAAAGGTTAAAAACAACTCATTATACGCATGACAAAAACACGTAAGAAACGTGTTTTTTGATTTTCTTAGCAAACCTAACATTAAGCGATGAAATGCTGCAGTTACAGATGTACCCTCACCAATAACTACTAAATAAATCACTGTTTTCCAATTACATTGAAATCCTGATTATTCGAAAATCTCGATTATTTGAAATAACTTTATTGTTCCCTTTGCAAAACAATTAAGAGAAACTTATTCTCGTTGTTTCGAACCTCCCGATTCTCTGAACCATTTTCGTTCTCCCAGGTGGTTCGTGATTCCACTGTATTACAAGACTGCTGGGTACATACCTTTGGTCCTGGCTGTCCACCAGCTCCAAGGCTACCTTGGTCACCTTGTTCGCCCTATAATTTGATAGGCATTTCATGTATGAAATCAACTAAAACATGTCGACACTTGATAAGTGCCCGACAGCACAATAAAACAAACATGGACGACGTTCGGCTTACATCGCTCGATCCGAAATAAGATGACCTTTATTTAGACAAAATGAATGACAGTGACATTATAATTTATTATACTGCCCTGTCCCTGAATTTAATTTATTTGAAAGCAACACGAGCAAGGGAATTTATCAATGGTGAACAAGCAAGGGAGAAGGGATCAGGGGAACATGCAACCCAGTCATCTCAGTTATCAGTATACCGATCCAGACCCTCTAAGTTAAAGTACAGAATACAAATTTAATCCTCTGTAACGCCATCGAACTAGTCGCAGCTCAACGAGGGACGCCCGTCAGCCATCACTCTTTGCGTACCACACCGCAGTTCATCTTAACTTAAGATACGTTAAGAGTATCTAAAGCTCTACAAAATCCAACGCTTACAAATATTATTAGTTGTCCGGCAGGAAATGCCGGAAAATACTAAAGGTTTGGATAACGGAAATAGAATAAAGTACCTTTTCACCCTTCCCTCCTACGTTGCCCTGAAAACCTGCTTTTCCTCTTGCTCCCTGAAGGAGAAAAAAAAGCGTCACGACTAAAGGAAAATGAGAACTGCAAAAGGGCAATAAAAAATTAGACTAAAATTTCTACTATTTATTACCCAACGTTGAATCGCTTCAAATTAAGTGTATGAACTGAAAAAAAAATTGTTACCATAGGTCCTTCTATCCCTGAATCTCCGCTTTGTCCTTTGAATCCACGTTGGCCCTGAATTTGGGAGGTAAAGATCAAATCAGTAACAACAACAACATCAAGAACAACAATGAATCGGAAACCTTAGACATGATGCACATTACCTTAAGTCCGGGTGAACCGTTTTTGCCTTCCTCGCCTTTTTTCCCGCGTTCACCCTGGATATGAATAAAAATACATTCATAGTGTACATAACGCATTCAAAACACAGTCATCGAAGAAAGAAATCTCAGTTACAGTAAAATACTTCCAAGAATACCTTCCCTCCGGGGTCACCAATAAGTCCATTTACACCCGGGACACCTGTAAGTCCCTACAAATGTCAGAACAAACTAAGTTAGCCAGGTTCACCCAAAAATCTATTTCCATTATTTTTAGTCATAAACAGGAAATGTAACTACACAAACATACATACCCCGTGACCAATAATTCCGGCATCTCCAGGAGGGCCTGGAGCACCAGGAAAACCCTGCAAAAAAACATCATTGAACGAGTGAGAAAAAGAGCCATTAACAATGCACGAAATGTTCTGGAGAAGGATAACCTTGAAAAGAGGAAAGCCTAAAACACCAAAATCACACTTCCTAAAAAGCGTTTCATTATCTTAAAGTGCAGCAGTGTTTTAAGTCCAACACAAGCTGCAGTTGCATTTTTCCTTTATTTAACTCGCGATAAAACACTTCACAGAAATCTACTTGTAACCTTGTAACGACATTTTCAGCTTCTATTTTTGCGGGTTGTACCTTCCTAACCTATAAATACATCGATTACGACCTAAGTAATAAGAACTTTACCTGACCTCCAGTCGAGCCTTTGTCTCCTCTCTTCCCTGGTGCCCCCACAAACGCCTACAAGAAAATGTGAAGGACATCTATAATTCATTTACTTTTGATTTCCTTAAATTTTATTAAGAACTTGCTTTTTTATTTTATCAAGAACTTTGCTTTCCTTCTTTTTTTATCGAGAACATATTGTGTTCTCAAGGCAACATGCCTTGAATTCCACCAGATGTTATAGAAATGTCTCAACGCTCGACCTCAGGGAACACCAAAAGTAGGTAGACAGTACAAAAGTATAAAAAAAGGTCAGGACTTCTTTGGAAAAAAATCATCTTTTCTACGAAGATCAAGCCCTTGGAAAATATATTTTTAAATAGTTTGCTATAAACATTAATGTTCTAATAACGTTAATTGTATCTATAACAAAATACTCGATCGTGCTTGGTTATTCGTGCCTCTATTTCTCACGTAATCGCTGCGCGATCACGTGGGTGTCCAATTACAGGTATTCAATTTTTACTTTTTGTAATTGGAAAACTGTAATTGGATACCTTCGCCATTCGTAAGCCAATTACGTGAGTGTTCCTTACAGTTTTGACAACTTTTAGCTTTTAAAAGCACCAAGGTGCTGAATGCACGTTATTATACGTACCAGTGTTGCGGGCATGCCACGTTCACCAGACAGTCCTTTTTCGCCAGCATAACCCTTCGAAGAATACAATTAGCTTAGCGTATGAAGGAAAGAAATAAAATCTTTTCACATAGTGTCTCTGAAATGATCACTACAAATTCCTGTTTTAAGCTCGGCGTCCAAACAGCAATGAACTTAATCAAGTATTGAGATATTGATACCAAGAGATATACTTAGTAGTCAGAAAGAAGGAGTGGACTAACCATTCGTCCTTTTCTTCCAGATGATCCTCTAGTTCCTTTCTCCCCCTTTTCACCCTATTAACGACAAAATACAACACAAACCACGAATGAAGACAAGCCACATCTATTCTAGTCTATAATGCCTGCTAATAAAAACTCAAAAATTATTTAGACTGAGGGGAACTTTCAAGATACCGTCTCTCCTATGTCACCTTCTTCTCCCATTTCTCCTGGAGCACCAGGCTCACTACTCTGAAGGAAAGAAAAAACATCACTGTAAAAGAAATTTGGTATGCTTCATTCTGCAAAAGTGAAACAAAACAGAATGGGAAGAGAAGGAGATAATTCCTGGTAGATGCTAGAAAGTGACTGTAACCCAGAATGAGGCATTTAATCTTGAGAGCTTTGCGCGATCTCGTTGGCATTAGTAAGGTATTGCAAGACAAGCCTTGTGTTTTCCACGTTCACAACTAATTCACAAAAGAACAACACCGTAGATACTCACTATAGGGCCCATGTCACCTCTAGAACCTGGTCTTCCTCGCAAACCCTGCATTCCCTGTAAAACCCATGGCAATACAATAAGCTTATTACGTTGTAGAACAAATACGTCTAAAGCATACAAGATACTCTTTTCCATAGAAAGAAATATTTCATCTTGCTGACATCTACTTACGATGTCCGTGACTATCAGGAAGGGTTTTTCCTCAATTTATTTTGAGCCAAAATTGTCGAACTGTCAGAATTCTTACTGGCCAAAACATACCTCCTGTCCCTTCATTCCAGGATCTCCCCATAAACCAGGATTGCCGTCTTCGCCCTACACGACAAGACGACAAGATATAAATAATAAACAAGATAATCATAATAATGCTTTTTGATTAACACTGGTGGAATTTGATAGAATAAGCAAGAGTAATTTATAATAGACCTTTGGTCCCTGCATTCCTGGAGTACCAATCAAACCAGACAGTCCAGACTGGCCCTAGGACAAAAATGCCAAACCCAAACCAAACATTAATCGTTAATAGCTAGGAATAGTAAAAAAAAAAAAAAAGTTAAAAACGATGCATGGAAAAATAGTTCGATCAAACCTCTTTCCCCAAGCTTCCTTGAGTTCCAGGCAATCCGCCATCTCCCACAGTTCCCTAAAGATTTAACAAAAATCGCTTGATGTAGACATTTGAAATCCAACAGAAAGTGGGTAAAATGTTTGAAGTGTTGTGGTCTGAACTACTTACTTTTGAGCCCTGGTCTCCTCTGGGTCCCTTAGGTCCTGGCGCACCACCCTCACCCTAACAAAACAAAAAATATAATTATACAAAACCCAAAATTAACATGTAGTTTGCAAAGGAATGTTGAATAACGGACCAGTCTACATGACACAGGGAAAGTTAATTAACTAATGTTCAAGTTACGTTAGCTGAGCGGATGGGAGACTTCTCATGCATAGGAGGAAAAAAGTGAAAAGTGAAGGTTCTGCATCCGCGTGATTCAATTTACCTTTAAGCCACTTGCTCCTTTGCTTCCGGTTTTGCCTGGAGGTCCCGGTCCACCCTAAGAAAGAGTGAGAACTGAAGATTAACACTGGCAGCATAGTAAAAACAGAAAATTATTTAATATATCAAACACAAATATAGTGTCGACCGCACTTCCAAACACCGACAGGAGACTTGAAAATATGACACGTTTTTTTTTGACGAACCTCGAGATGTGGTTAAACACACTCTCTCTTCTCAACTGAAATTAAACTTAAGGGTAAACGGAGAAATATAACAGTAAGAAATCTATGCAGATTGATGGACTATTTATGAGTTTGAAAACACGAATCACCAAAAAGAGCTCAAAAGAAATGTCCGAAGAAAAAGTCTGGTCACGCTAACGTTCCAGTGCCGACCACTAACACTAGTCGGACTTGTGGTGATTTGTTAACAGTTTGGAACAGTTCGTACAATTGTACTTAGTTGCTCAAAGTGACAGGCCGAGATAAATCAGCACGAGTTACTCACAAACGGCCCCTGACTTCCTGGAGGACCTCTCTGACCGGGCAAGCCATCCTCCCCCTGTTGGAATATAATGATACCTAGATGTGAATGCTGCTTAACCCAGAGCTTAGGACACATTCAGATTGATACGAGACAATCACAAACCTCTTCGCCGGCGGTCCCTGCCAACCCTTGAAAGCCTAGAGGTCCACTGTCTCCCTGAAAGAAAATACGCCTCACGTATTTCTCTCACTTAAATGTATAATGCTACTATACTCATCGTGGCCTGTTAATGACGAAGCCATGTAAAACAGTGTACGTGAGTTCTGTTATAGCTAACCTGTTCTCCTTCAGTCCCTGCCAGACCAGGCTTACCCAATGGACCAGATGGACCCTACGATCATGGATCTACAGTCAATATCGATAGTTACAGTATTACAACACTTGTCTGATAACTCAAATGCAAACTGAACACAGGCTTTTGGAGAGAAGCTACATCTCTCACAAAATTACAACCATCAATATGCCAACTAACTACTACAGATGATCTGAGGTCACAAGGTTATCCAACGAATTATGAAGTCTGCCGCATGCACAATTGTTTGCATGAAACAAATTTTACCTGGTGTCCAGGAAAGCCCATGACTCCTTGGGATCCCACAGAACCTATTTGTCCCTGCAAAACAACCATATAGAACAATTCTGTGTCAGTGACATCTCGATATCGCCATCTCTCTATAAAAAACAATTCAGCGGTTATCCTTATAGGAAATTATGCACATTAGAATGGTTATTTGTCCAATGGAGGAACTCTTCGTAGCAAATTAGCAGTTTTTTTTTTTTTAATTAACAACAAAGTACTGTAACTTACTGGATCGCCTATGGGCCCCACTTCTCCCTCGTCACCATGCGGGCCCTGTCAAACACATTGACTTAAATCAACTATAAATTACAATAGCCTATTCAGCAAAGGCACTCAGTAAAAATTGCTCGAAATTTCAAATTGCTATTTTTATTGCTATTGAGTAAAAGTATACCTCCAAACAGAGAAACGTGCAGTTGCGCATTAAGCATGTTACTCTAGGAGTAATTGTAAGTAACAATTGTTTGCTTGGATCAGTTGCAATTTAACATACTCAAGGAACATTATATCTTCTCAATTTTGCGTATAGCCCTTGCTTTTAATTGTATTTAGAAGTTTTATGTTTCTGTTGATACTTTTCATTACATCACACACGATACAAGTATTGAAATAAGCTTACAGAAACCTGGAAAGGAGTCCCAAAACGTTTGCATTTGCAAGTCGGACTCTTCTCTTTATTTTCTCCTAGAAAAGACAAGTGAAGACAAGTTAAGTAATTAGAAAGACAGACCCAAGAGGAGAAAAGAAGAGAAGAGTCCGATTTCCTCGTTACAAGAGCTGCCACAGTTAGTTCTTGGGTTTGAATCAAACATGCTTCTTCTTTGAAAGATCTACCAAATTGCGAAGAACAACAAAAAGTAAAAGAAGACCAGTGGTTATTCCAGTAAATAGCCATAACATGGAGAAATGCCGTTTCTTTTTAAAAATAACTGTAAAACAATTGTGTGGCAGCTAACATGTAAAGAGGCGTTACTTTTGCAATTACTTTAGAATGTTTGACTTGACAAAAGTAACCGTTCGGAACATAGAACAGAGAAAGGAAAGCAAAGATAAAAGTTGACAAAGAAAGTGCGCAAGTTAAAAAATGTCTGTTAGAAAGAACTGCCACAATGGCTGGTGAAAGAAAATGGGAAGATTATGTATCTTTCAAGTGGTCAATGCGGTGTATGATGGAGAATGTGCAGTTTTTTTTTTCGCCCGACTAAAATAGTGACTTACTCCGAAAAAGACTTTTCAAGAAAATTATTTTGCTAGCCTCAAGAGTGTCGAGCATAGTATAACAAAGAAGACGAAACAGGATAAGCTGACGATTTTTCTCACCAAGATTCCATCAGCACCTTTCAATCCAGGAGGACCAGTGACACCCTAACAGGAAAAAAGAAAATAAAAACAGAACTAACGTCAAACCCTTAACAAGAACAACCACAACAATCTTTATTTGTACTCTCAATCTTACGAATACTAATTGCACAAACTATCGATAATGTAACGGCAGTAGGACTGTCTTTAAACAGGTAACTCAGACTGACTCCACAAAAAGCTGTATTTGGCATATTGCTATTTATCATATTGACCTGTTTTCCTGGCTCGCCAATCTTGCCACGGCCTCCCTTGGGACCTATTTCACCCTAAGAACAGAATATCGCTCAATTTGTTAAATGGCTACACAAACTAGATATATTGTAATGTAATATAGACGCAGCCTTTTAATTAATAATAATCTAAAAATAATACGTGATCAAGAAGACGCAGATTCAGATGATTTTTATAACATTACTTGTAGTCCTTGAGGTCCAGCTTCTCCAATTGATCCACGCGTTCCAACAGGTCCCTGAAAATTACAATTAATACAGTCATCGCGTACTTTGTGTCTTGAACAGAGAAAATATCATATTTGGCGAGACGTTCATATTTACTGTACGTGTTACAATAACAAAATTGTAAGTATTGTGAATGCAAGCTTGTGAATGTAAGTTACAACAATAATTAACAAAGATGATTTCACACGGTACATATGTATCTCTAATATCTAAAAAAATGCCTTACATCTTGTCCTTCTGGGCCATGTGGTCCCTGGTTACCAGGCTTCCCAACAATGCCCTTAGAAATCATAAAAAAAAAAAGAATTATCGCACAAGAATTACAAGTAATAGAGTAAGCAAATCTTGGCAGCCATACTAATTTAACAAATACCCTGCAATCCGTTCACCGACCTTTGGTCCAGGTTTCCCTAACGCACCAAGTGTACCGTTTGGGCCACGAAATCCCTGAAAAAAAAAACAAGCAAACTCAAAGATTATTACATAAGAGTTAATACTGTTTTAGACAAAACTCATAACTCTTGCATGACAAGGAAAACTCCCTGTCGTATTACCTCTCTCAAAATGTACATACTTTTGTTGCAACTAAGACAATTCAAGGCATTTCTTCCTTACGACATAAACTTAAGGAGATTCACTGCAAAATAAAGAAAACTTCAAACTTGAATACCGCAGGTCCTCTTGCGCCAGGACCGCCGAGGGCTCCTGCAGCTCCTGGTAATCCCTAACGACAATAAACACATAAGTTTCTTGTTAAATGTATTATCTTATAGTATCATTGAGTTCGCTTGTTCTTGAAAGGCGCAGTGCAGCAAACGAACGGTTTTCCTGTAACCTTACATGTGCAATCTGTCCTATATTTTTAGCTAATAAATCGTGCAACAATTAATAGTCCTTTTTAAAACACCGAGAAACAGCAGCACTTTTCCAAAACTGTTCAAAAATCTCAAAGAAAGTTTGAAATTTAAAATGTTAGTTAACACTTGAAAGGAAAACTTCCCTTGGCTTCATTACACACTCCACTGCCACTAAAAACGTACCAGCTGTCCTTGTAGGCCGGATTCTCCAATCGTTCCCAATGATCCCTAAAAGCAAATACATCACGATTAAGTGCAAAGGTGAATCTAACCTTTTCTCACACAACACTGTTGCTTCGTATTCTAAACATCAATATTGGACCTATGGCAACTTAAAATATCTCACCTTGTCTCCATTTAAGCCAACGTAACCTCTTCCACCTTTTCTTCCTGGGTCTCCCTAAATATTCCAAATGTGGGATGTCAACAGTTCATCCCTCATACAGGTCTGTTTACATTCATTACCCTACTACTTAGCTTTCTAAATATCTTACAATTTCCTCGTTGTGGAAACCAATAAAGCTTTGTATAAAAGAACAAACACACTCACTTGCACTCCACGTCTACCACGAAAACCACGACGACCGCTGTCACCCTGGTAATAACAGAGGTTGTTAATATTATAACAGTGAGTTCTGAAGCAAAAACAAAATTAAAGAGACACTTCTCCATTACCAGGCATTCCAAGTACACGTTAACGCCCTCAAAGCAACAACAAGAGAGTGTAAATTGCACCTTATCTCCTTTGTTCCCTTTTGGGCCATACATTCCGAGTTCTCCCACAGGACCCTAATGAGATAAGAGTTCCTTGATTTCAGCTTGCCTTTTTAAACATTTTATCCGCATATCAAGTGTCATTGATTAACCTTTAAATTGCACCTAAACTAAGAAACAGAAATACAATTCAGTACCCAGGTAGCATAACATGACATCTCTTCAGTTCTACGGAAAAAGCTCCTAGGGGTACCTTTTACACCTCTGAAAAAATTGCCAACGCAACTCACATACTTTAATATCAACGGCAGTAAAAGACAAAAACCAAAATTGCTTACTAAGCTTCCTTTCTGGCCAGGTGTTCCAGCCCTCCCAGGTTTTCCAGGCATACCCTGAAAAGGACAGATATCATACAGCAATTAATAGAGTCTAATAGGAAAACAGATTTTGATATGTTTTATGAACAACATAATCGCGTTTAAGACTTTTTGATAAAATTTCTCACGGAAGGTCTTACGTGATTCCTAGGGTGCAAAAAAGTAACCTCTAGGTCGGGGCAAAGAATAAAAGTCCCGAAGAGTATCTTTGTATCGCTTTCCTCTTTGTGGCCATTACTCAAATGAAATAAACAACGCTGTACAATTGATGAACTTAAGACATAACAATAACAATCTGAAACGCCTACCTTGTGACCGGTAAATCCTGTGGAACCTTGCGATCCTGGATCTCCTGGTGGACCCTAGTTAAAAGAGATAACATTGCATTTTGTTATATGTAGTAAGAATCTGTTTTTAGTTCTTCAGGAACAATTCTGGCTGTCGTATGATCGTCGAACAATAGCATCTCATGGATAGCTTCCTTTTCCCTTACCCATGAGTAGAGGAACTCGCTTACCTTTGACCCCGGAGCACCCTGCGCACCTCTCAATCCTACCGGGCCTGGAATGCCCTAAGGAAAAACGAAGGGATTAGATAGAAAGAAATCGGATCAAAGTGGCATTTACTGTTTATGAATGAGACAGAAATTGGTGACAATGTGTTCTATCGATGTCATTGTGACAACTATAATAATGATCATCATCGTTATCATTACCGTCATTGTCATTGTCATCATCACCATCATGTCCGCAATAATCAAAATGTTACCTGGTGGCCTTTTGCACCTTGTTGTCCTTTTGGGCCTTGCGGACCTGTAATTCCCTAAAATAAAATTTAAAAAAATACAGGATGAGAGGACAAGTGAGGGCGTTTTATTCCAATACGTGTGCAAACACTAGGGAAACAATGGTCTTCCATGTGTTGAGGAAATACACGAAAAAGTGAAAAAGGTAACCACTTAATAAAGCTATTTTGTTTAAAGGTTTGAGCACAACATTTGGAACCCTGGACAGACGCCGAAATGTGAGAGAAGTTTGCCAAGCAGTAGCAGATCTCAGTATGAAACAGTCACATGATCCATCCAGAAACTGACTAACAATTAGTACAATTACCTTTTTCCCTTTCACGCCATAGAATCCACTACTTCCAGAATTACCCTGAAAGTTAAAACCAACAGCATGATTACAAGTGACAACAAAGATATGTACCCACCAATTATGTTACGAGAAGATTTACCGTTTTTCAGTCATTCTTCGCTTAACCATATTCTAAGATTTTGAAACCTTTCTTGGAGTCAACGCTAGGTCGTTTTCCAACTAAAAACTAGTAGTTTTATCTGTTGTGTTTGAAAATGCTACTTTGAAGAGAGCTGTCTCTTTTACAGCGGTAGCTGTAGTTTCATTCAGCAGTTAAACACCAAGTTTTCAATTCCTATTAGTTTTCCACTCATAACCGTAAAACAGAAATTTAGGCTTAGGAAACACAAAAATTGCTTTAAATACGCTTTAAACACATGGTTGTCATTACAACACTCATTCAATTGACCAAACAATTAACACACCAAAATGTTCCTTGATAACGTTTTTCTAAAAGTGCCCCCAATTTCGACCGCTACAGCTCGAACGCTTTTTTCTAAGAAATTGAAATCATTTTGTGCACTCCACCCCCTCACCAACCCAACCCAAAGCTAGATAGGGTTGAGTACTGCCATATTGCGTTGTGTTCTGATACGTGAAGGAAACTAAAAAGAGAACACCTCAGGTCTGCTGAACATTTGCAGTATGATATAGCACGTTTTTAGTACCTTTGCTCCTCTTTTACCACGGTTCCCCTCTGGTCCTTGTTGCCCACGATCTCCCTATAATATTGACCAAACAAAGAAGATGTTTCATCTCTAGACTACCAATATTTTGTTCCGTTGCACATTATTTTAAATAAATCTCTGCCACTGAAAAAGAGGTTTCCTTTAGCAACAGTTGTAGATCAATAGATCAATTGAAAACTAGTCTACCACTACCTCTGTAATAAGAAAGCAACATCTGTTATTTAACTCTTGCCTCGTGTCCTTGAATTCCTCTAGAACCCGGCGGTCCTTGAACTCCCTTGGGGGAATAAATGATTAATGGCTCATCATTAACATCACCATTTTGGTTTTTCATCATCATCACAATCAAATAAGGACAACTTATGCTCGTTATTATCACACTAAGAAGGTACAACATTGTTCAATAGTTGAATGGAATATGTAGGAAAACGACTTTAGCTGGGTATTACATACATTGATAAGTACTTGAACCAAACATAATATCACAGTCGGCATTTTACAGCTGGTGTCTCCTCTTAGTATTGTTCGCATAAAAAAGAAATACCGAATGATGAAAGGTACATTAGAAAAAACCAAAAGGCATAATCAGAAATTGACAGTTCCCTTGCAAATGTGAATACAATCTAAGACAGGAAAGACTGTTATCCCTGCCATTTCCTTGAGGTAGATTTCGGTAACCACTCATTCAGTCAACCATGGGGCTTCACATATATTGCAAGTCCTTCCTCATTATATTGTTTACCTTTTGGTAATCTACACAGAATTTAAAGCAAAATCCATAATTTATATTTACAGGCACACTCGCTGATGACTATGGGCTGGTTAAGAACTCAGTTACCCCGTTAATTCAATACATCTAATGTATGGCTACATTTGCTTTTTTTGGTAGCAATTTGGGCACTAGTGCTTTTTTTAAAGTACGATTAGGCACCCAGTCTACTGATAAGAGCTGATTAAAAGAATCATTAAAATATTTTAATGTGCCAGAAGTAATAATTGAAATTAGTTTTTCAAAGGATAACCATAATTCCCTTACTTTGCCTTGGCTAATAAAACACAGAAACCATGGGCTTTTTTAACAATTTTATTTGCACAAAACAGGTACAAACAGACTACAATTAGTTTTCTAATTTATAATATTTCGCTTTTCTTATTATTTTACAGAGGCCCTAAGTCTAAACATCTTAAACATCTTTTAAACATCTTCAAAACCATTTGTAACTTCATAGTTTTAATTATAGTCCATTATCTACTTACAGGGTTTCCTGATGCTCCTATCAAACCCATTTGCCCACGGGAGCCTAGAAACCCCTGTTAATGTACAAGGTAGAACAACTATCAAGATTGAATACTACTTTGAAGCATCTTATTTGTTTAATGCCTGTTGGCTCTAAAGAAAACATGACAATGGTTAGTAATAAAATTAAAGGTTTCTTAAACTGTTCAAAGAATCAAACATGATAACTACATATGACCTTCTTCCTAGTTAGCAGCTGTGGTTTATCATTCTTCAACGTTATTATATTGTAATTAGAACCACTGAATGGAGCACTCCATATAAAGCACAACAAAACTATTGTTATCTAGACTTACTTCAGGTCCTGGATCGCCAGGCACACCAGCAGGGCCAGATGCACCCTAAAATATACATTGATAATTGTCATACTTTATTTTCATTGATTTACACAGGTATATCAAGGAGATTTCCTGAGATAATAAGAAAAGAAAACATTTGCCCCTTTCGCACAAGACTGAATGGGTTATTTCCAAGATTATCATTTCATACATCATTAAGATGTATCAATAAAATCTGATTACAGGTACCTGAACACCTTCAACCCCAGGTAAACCAGCCATGCCTATTTCACCTGCATCACCCTGTTAAAGGTTCAAAGACAAAACATAGCAAATTATTAGTTAAAAAAACAACAACTTAAGTGTTAAAGCAGATGATAAAAACAAAAGCTATAGAAATATATACACTATACACAATGAAGTACCATTTCAAATTACTACAAACAGTAAATTATGGAACACAATACCCAGTCGCTGACTTTAACAGTACAAAATCTGACCTACCAATGGTCCTGGGAATCCCTTTGGGCCTTTTCTACCCCCAAGGCCCTACAAATTAAACATTAATTGATAAAATTATGAACTGTATAGAAGCACAGGCCCAAAAACCGCATGTCTGCATTTAACTGTGAGTTTAAGCTTCTACCTTCTTTTCGTACTCTTTAATACTTTATAATAATTATCCATAAATACTGCCCTCTTTAAGTCAGCTAATTTGTTCTCAAATAAAAGACTTCTAAATATTCTATGTGCTGCCCTACATTTTCACTTGATGGCCTGCAGCAAAACAAATTAAATTATGGAAATGACCCCAATATCATTTTAGGCCAGGTATTTGCCATTACGCTAAGATGTATGTTTGGAGGCATTTACGTTAATATGAACTTAAAAAATCAGGTCTTCACACTCCATGAAGGTGAACAAGGTTGATACAATCTCCTTTAACTGAATAATGTTATTATGTACTGAAAATCAAATCCATGCAGGAAGGTGCGTGTTTGGACATTTCACCATTTCTAATGAACCATTTCACAAGGTGCAAAAATATGGGATACTGTTTCTCTTTTTTGAAATGGTGAGAAGAAAGGATGCTGCCTTATAGCTAACAAGATATAAGGTAAAGTTACTGAAATATTTTCAAATGTCCACCCAACATTTGTCACCACAAATCTACCAACAACCTGCAGTAAGCTACCTTATATCAATATACTATTCCTTTACCTGGTGTCCAACAATTCCAGGATCTCCTTTAAGTCCTTCAGTACCCTAAACACAAAAGCAATCATCTAAACAATAAACAGGTGATTCATGGTTTTAACTGTGTGTTACATTGAGTTGAGGAACATGGAAGAGGCTTAGGGGTTCCTCAAGACGCAGACAACGGCAACGTTAGCTTCTCAAGTGCTCCCTAAACTTCCTAAGTACACTATAACTCAATGATGCATAGATGATTTTGTTTTATAACATTGCCAATGGACAAAAATCTCTCTCATGAAGCTAACTAAAGTTAACTTTGCTCCCATCATGCATCATTGGATTAAGGTTCATGCTAATATAATGTATACTGAGTTTGAAAGCACAGCTTTCCTAGTTATGTAATAATATGTAGTGCTGAGGTTAATTCTTTCTCATCTTAAATGAAAAGCTGCACAAACTGTAAATGGCCTGACATACCCTTTTCACATACTTAGTCACCAACTGCATACCAAACTGTCACAACAAATGATTTGTATTCAAGTAAGTTATGAAACTGTATTGATTTTTTCTTATGATTATCTTCTTCTTGAATTGGAGCCACACATTTGAAAACAGCAACTTACCCTCTCACCTGGAGGGCCTCGAGGACCAGGTTTTCCTGGGATGCCATAAGGACCCTGCCATAATAAAAGTTACATTGTACTAGTGCAACCAAAATATTCATGAATTTACAAAGTGAAGACAAAGTGGAGTAAATTTTCCCTTTAGTAAATCAAATATTCATTGCCCACAAACATTCTACATGTTTATTAAGCAACCACCTGTAATAGCCCTGTTTATGTCCAGTGAGGATTATCCCCTTATTTTCTCCACTGGTCAGTACATCTGTTCAGAAAATACTATATAGTGGGTTCTCCCATGAATGTTAATAACATTTATGATGTTTGATCTGATCAAAATTATATAGCGCCAGTAATTTAAAATCATGGCCCAATACAATTTGTCTATTTTGAAGAAATGTTGTTAATATTTACTGTTCTTCCTTTCTATGAGGGTGTACTAAAGTAAGCAGCAACATGGAGTAAGAGTGATTGAATTTTGCTCTTGCATAAAAGCTCTGTTGAGGGAAACTTGCAAATGTTCTGTGGCTAAATCTTTCAGACACTCAGCTGTATCCCAGCTGCACAACTGTCACTACACAGTGTGTAGTTCAAGTTCTCAGAGTATGTGGCTTAGTTGATGTATACTAAGTGGAGATTTCTTTGTTACAACTTTTTTGTTCCGTTATACAACAGTCTCTTAAACAGATATTTTGTCAATAAAGTTCTATCCCTTACCTTTCTGCCTTTGTCACCCTTAAAGCCCTTTGGTCCTATCTCCCCAACCAATCCCTAAAATAAAACAATAACTCATTTATTTTAACAATGGATCAGCACAATTCCCCTATTAAGTCTGCTTACCACACATTTCTATTTGGCAAAGGTGGCCCCTATGTCAAGTGTACAAAAACAAGTTTTGTACCTCAGGTAACTTGGTCACCCAGAAACTGTTATGAAGATATCTTTTGTTGGTCACACATAGGTATCAAAAATTTTTCATGTAGGGTTATGATTTTGTTCCTTGAAAAAAAAAATCATTTGTACAAAGCATCTTCTTTGGGGGAAGAATTGCTCCCTCCTACAACTCAGTTATTTGAAATGATGATGAGAAAAAATCTATAGTATTGTGTTCCCAACTAGACTACATTTAGGTCACATCGACATAGTAAAAAATCAAACAAGGTAGCCATTCAGAAGTTTGGATATGCATGACCATTATACTTTGCCAAATCTCCAGATTTATTCAGTGATTTTCCACTTTTTAAGGTTGTTTTGGAATGTGGCCCATTTCTCACCCCCAGCCCCTCCCTGATTAAAACAAACATTTTATTTAATCACAATTATTAAAATCATAGCAGAGCTCTGGCGGCCCAAAGGGCCGCTAAGCGGAGCCCCATACTCATATAGGAAAGAAAAGGAAACCCATTAGTTGATTTTCTCATGGTTATCATGGCTAACGGTATTGCTCGTGGGCACATATACACAACAGCGACAGCCACAATGACGACGACAACTGAGTCACACATGGCGGCCATACTCCAAATAATAGGTTGACAGAGACATGCAGCCTTTGTTTATTGTGTACTTCTTTGATATTGGACATCCATGTTATGATCAATTAACACCTGTCAAAACGAGGTATCTGCTGACCAGTATCACATGACCATACAACGGGCTCAAGTTTACAGCTCATCGAGGTCATGCTTTTTTTGAAGTTGACCGCTGACCAAGTGCTGGTTTTTGGTTGGATCGCGGGCTCGTACCAGGTTAACTTGTTGAAAACAGGGGCTGGATTGTTCGGAAGCCAGTCGATGCTAACCCAGGATTAAAAGTTAACCGAATTATAACTTTTTCTTCTATACAAATGTTTCTAGCTGCTTTGTTTTGAGTATATGGTGATTATTAAAACTCAAAACAGAAGGCCAAACAACATACAGAAAACCTCACCACAAAGTTACAAAACTCAAATCAAATTTCTACCTTTTCCTGAGTTAGCTTAATCGGGTTCTGAACAACCCGGCCCAGGAGCTATGCTTTTAGGCTGGCCTAAATCTATATATCAGAGCAACAAATTAAACACAAATTGTTTGAAGGAATTAATAGTAACATACAGGATGTCCAGGAGACTGAATGACTCTAATAACTCTGGTAATTCCCTTCTTTGAATTGCTGGGGGGACCCTGTCAAAGATAATAAAAAAATAGAGGCTGCTAGTTGGTTTCATTTAACTTTTGTCCAGCCCTGTCAAAATATGAAGTTAAAGCAGTAAGACCACAGTAGTCTCTGAAATATCTAATACAGCAGCAAATATGTTGATGAAGATCTGTCTGCCCAGCCCATGAACTTCCAGTAATGTCTCATGAAATTTGACAACAAGGATACAGATAGATAGATAGACAACCAAGTAAAAATCTAAAGTTAAAAATGCCAGGGTAGTCCCTTCAGGGAGCTTACAAAGCATTTCTGCTATCAATAAGAGCCCTGAAGCTACTACCTAACACAGATCACACATCATAAAGACATCTAGTAGTGACACTGGTCCTAATTTGTTTTTTGCTGTTTATAGCAATTACAGGAAAAAAAGACCTGCATGTAAGAACCTAGTGGTTTAAGAACCTGCTAGCAGAAGTTTGTCATTTCAAAGCCTTAAAATTTGGAATCTGTTTAGCCAAGCAAGATCAAGCAGGTTCTTATATATGGGTTACAATTAAATTTCAAACTCTTGTTAATTATAGGGCAACACTACAAATACATTCTGTAATCAATTGCATTGGGCTTATTATGATACAGTTGTGAATGAACACTGTATATTTAAGAATGAAACCCAAGTTTACTTATTTTTCTGGTAATCACCAACTACATCTCCTTCATAGAAATTAAGAACCTAATAAGAACCTACTTATCCTAAATTGCAATAAGTACCCCAAAATACAAGAACCCATTTTGACAGACTTCAAATAATGTATCTTCTTACTAGCTGGTTTTTGCTGTATTATCTATCAGTGAGAATTAATCACTAACCTTTACTCTAGACGGTGCTGGCATGGAAACCTACCAATGAAAATTTATTAAATTTATTTAATAAGTACAATGGAATGATAATTTATAAAATAGAGATCAAAAGACTTGTTGAAATTCATTGCTGTGAATTCAAAATGTTCCTGGTAAAGCAATTAATTTGACAGAGGTTATTCGTAAATAATTCAAAACTTAATATACAGAGACACTTTATTCCCCAGTGAGAATGGAGTCATTGTCATGCTAAAATCTGACAAAAAGCGGCCTCTTCCCTTTATTGCTGTAACTTTTCTTAAGTTTGTGTTTAGTAAACAAAAGGGTATTAGGACGATGTAATAATTTACTTCTGATCTATGTTCTTTGTTGTTATACCACCTTTGTCACATTAAAACAAAACACACCATTATCATTGCTAAATCACCGCTTGAAAAATCATTAAGTCTCACTACACTGTATCTGATCTAGTCAACATTATGATTTAATTACTTACGAGACCCTGGCCTGATTGTGTTTCAACATTGTTCCGATTTCCCTGCGATAAACAGCAGAAAACAAATTAGGACCATTATTGCAAAAAATGAAAATATGCAAAATTATCTTACACCAGTAAAGAATTACCATTATCTGTTGTTCAGCACTGAAGTGCACTCTATTGGCACAATCATTTGATAAAGGTCTGTTGCAAAATTTATCTACAATTTCTTGATCGTCCACTAGCAACAGTTCACAAATGTCTTCCTGTTGAAAAAATAAAAGGGGCAATTGAATCTTATTTAAAAAGATGCACTGGAATCAATCAAACTATTACCTAACATGTACTGTAATTGGCAATGTATAGTTCCAGAAAATAACCACACCCACCCCATGTATGGAAGGTAATTGGAAATTCTGTTGGGGTGGGAGTTCTCAAAAGCCATTCAAATGTTTTACAGGAAAAATGCAAGTATGAAGCTACAAATTATGGAATTTCCAGACGGGATTGAGGTCCAAGACAAAAAATCTCCCATGGGAAGGATCTGGATACTTTCTGGAACAGCACAGATAAAATTAATTACAGTATTTTTTACTGCCTAAAGATGTTGCATGGTAGTTACATCAGATAATGGGAGTAACAGGCTGTTGAAGAGCTCTGCCAGAATCTATCTGCTGACCATTTGAAATCAACTAAATAAATTACACTAATGCCCTCTGTGCACAAATCAAAGGTAAATATTATTGAATGCTTCAAATTATTTGCTAAACATATGCATACCTCAATATTGTCGTGAGAATTCTCAGTTTGCACTGTAACAGTGATCTTCTCCCACTCTTCCAAATTACTTGTGCTTGGTAGAGATAAGTAGTTGAATTCCACACACTCCTGGGTTACAGTGATTTCTCTGTGATTAAAGTTTACTAGTAGTTTTTGCCAGGATGAAACATTTGCCAATATGAACAGTCCAATAATGGAATTATTATGACGGAACAAAACCGTTCTATTGCGAACTGTAATGGCGTATAAAGTTTCAGATAAACTTCCTTGGACAGCATTAACATTTATGAGAAATCTACTATTGTCTACAGCTTGTCTAAGAATAAAAAGTACAGAGTATTTTAAAGGGTTTTCACTAAATAAATAGTCTTTTTCTGCTAAAAATGGTACTGCTGTGCTATTTTCTTCATTGTGTATGTTGGTTGTCCTTCTGCTTGCATTGGCCTCTATTGTATATCTTTCAGAAGCATTCAATCCTGGCAGATCTAAAAGAGATTTCAGGAAAAAGAAACACCTTCAACATTAAATGATATGGAAAATGAATACAAATATCTCACTTGTACTTAACAGGTTAATTGTTGTCATCCTTAAGTTAGTCTGAGTACATACAGTATAACACAAAACAAAGTAATTGAAGTTTAGATTTTGAGAGGGAAAAACCATGGATAATAACAAATGTCTCATTTCCAGAAGTCATTTGTGAAATTGCAAAAATACTCATAGCTACCCAAAGGAAGGTCACTAGAAACTCTGAGGAGGAGACAGGTTCATACCCCAAAGATTTTAATGAATGTGTGAAGCTAAACTAAAATTTTAAAGGGGGAAGATGAGACATGGGGTGGGAGGAGCTAAAAAATGGGGAACCAAAAAACCCTTACATTGAAAACTAGGGGTAAGAATATTTTCTGCAACAACACATTTCATTAATAGTATCTCTGTAATACTTGATACTCTTTTTCAGAAATAAAAGACAGAAACACGTAATAAAAGATTTGATCAAAAATATAAAAAAGATAAAATTTATCTTTTTAGCTTCATGTTACTTCCACATGTGTGGACTCCTCGTGTGTACACCTTGTTGTCAGTTGTAGGCACGAGTTGTTCAAGTTTCTCTCAGAGTTCTTTTCAATCTGAGCCCATTAATCATAAAAACAAGGAATCTCTATTCCTCCTCACTGCATCCACACACCCTCAGGTGCACTCCTGCTTTGATTGGTTATGCAGAATAATATCTTCAAGTTGGTATTATTTTGCAGCAATGGCTTGTGCAGAACGTTGGGTAAGCTATCAGGCACATGGCTCACTGTAGCTGCATCCTGTCACTGTCATTTGCGCTTTTTATCTTCCCCATTATTGTATGATGTGAACAATCAATGAAAGGTTTGCTACTTTCAAGAGAGTCACTAATTTTGGGGGGTCAGTACTTTTGGGATTTACTAGCAGCAACAATTTTTTAATGTTACTTTCGAGTGCTCACTACTTTCAGGTGGTCATTACTTACAGAAGTTTACAATATAGGGGTTTAGGTATCTAAAGTTTTAACTGGAATTGTACTACATTGCTTGGATGCGGGGCACCTCTAAAGGTATATGGTAACCGCAACTGATCAAAACTGAGTGATCCAGAATGAATTTGGACATGTACAATTTCCACCTCCAGTCGCTCACTCTTTCATCCACCTGGCAACTGCTGCCCAGCTCCACTCAAACACCCTTTCCAATAGGCCAAAATATTGACTTGCATATTCCCTTCTGCAACTCTAGGAATGATGGGCAGTGCACACTTGTCTTATGGTAGGTGCTGATAAGCCAACTGACCCTTTTCTCCCACCCTCCAGTTTCCACTGCCATTTTCCCTCCCCAGGGAAAAAAGTGAAAACTGTGACTTTTGGGATTCTACAGATAAGTCGACATAAATAGCAACATGTAGCATTGTCTAAACGAGACCAAACAATGACAACACAACGTTTTTAATAAAGCTCATAAAAGCCCGTCATTACTAGCCGTAATACAACAACAACTACATCCGTGATACATCTCATTCTACTGCACAAGCCCAAAGGGCCTATGACATCATAACATTGTTACATCTCCCTTCTTGAACAAACAAAACAAAGAAATGAAGGGATGGTAAGGTAGGCAATGGACGGAAGGACAAGTGATTAAACAAAACAACTCTAACAGTGTTCACTGTTCAGAACTGTTCGAAAAGCCTTTACACTGGATTCCTAGGTGGTGAAATCCCTGAGGTAAGCAGGTCTCCTAACAATCCTGCCACTTCTAGTAGAGACCGGGGCAGGAACACTTGGCAAAGCTGGCTGTAAATCTGGCTGCAAAACATCTGGTAACTGCAATGCTGAAGGTTCAGGGGGCACCTGGAGTGTGTCCTCAGTAGGTTTCCTGGTGGGGAGTAAAGTTTGAGCATTGACCTTAGATTCCCTTATGTCTCCATCTGGTATCGCTTGAAAGTTCTCAGGAACTTTGTAAAGATGTGAACGGTTTCGGCAGTAGAGCCTACCATCCTCTGTGCGGACTTGATAGGAGCGTGGAACTTCCTGACTACTCACTTGCGCTTTAAACCATTTTGAATGACCTGGTAATGGTCAGACCCGCACCACGTCGCCATCTTTTAATGGTTGCAGCTCTTTAGCACCTCTGTTGAAAGAGAGCGCTTGCTTGCTTTGCCTCTGTTGCAAATTCAGGTGTACATCAGGAATGACTTTTGGCTGAAGCAGGTGGCTAGCCATGGGTAGTGCGGTACAGGTTCTACGCAAGAAGAGATGCTGTGCAGGGGTGCTGTCCATTCCTTCTGATGGTGTATTCCGGAAGTCCAGTAGAGACTGGTTGGGTCATGGCTTGCATCAGCAGCTTTTTTCAAGATATTCCTTGCTGTTTTGGCACTGTTCTCAGCCTTCCCGTTGGATTGAGGATACCGTGGAGACGTTTTAATGTGTTCAAACTGGTACTCGGCTGCAAACTTCTGAAACACAGCACAGTCGAACTGTGGGCCGTTGTCTGTGGTGAGTCGGTCTGGAAGACCATATCTTGCCAGATGAGGTTTCAGCTTGTTAATAACCACTCTGGCTGTCATAGACCTCAGTATATCCAACTCGAAAAAATTAGAATAGCGGTCGGTTGTAATCAAGTACTGGGTGCCATTGAGCTCAAACAGGTCTGCTGAGATGCTCTGCCATGGTCATGTAGGTATTTCGTGACATTTCAGAGGTTCTTTCTGCTGCTCTGGTTTGTAGCTGTTGCAAATGCTACACCTTGAGATGAATTCTGTGATTTGCTTGTAGATGCCTGGCCAGTAGAAGGCTTCTTTGGCTCTCCTGAAGCACCCCTGAATGCCCAGGT